TATGCTGCAGCGCCCGGGGAGCAGTTGGGGGTTCGGTGCCTTGCTCAAGGGCACCTCAGTGGGGGTATTGAAGGGGGGAGAGACCGCTGTCCATCCCCCCCCCCCACCAACAATCCCCGCCGGTACGAGACCCGAACCCACAACCTTTGGGTTACGAGCCCATCTCTCTAACCATTAGGCCACGACTAATAATGGTTCATATATTTTTTGAATATGTAAGATTGCATACTTGAATATTTATATATATATTTTTTTTTTCTAAACTCAAAAGTCAAGATATAATTATTTTCTCCACAGGTCTTAAGGCATTTTCATTTCCAGGCCACCTCCCATTTTTATTAGGTGGCTCTCTCTTCCATTTTCTTTCATGCATTGCCAGTATATTTGGTGTGACAAGTAAACATGATCACACACCATTGCCAGTCCACACACATGCTGTGAACACACACCCGGAGGGCAGCCATTTATGCTACGGCGCCCGGGGAGCAGTTGGGGGTTCGGTGCCTTGCTCAAGGGCACATCAGTCGTGGTATTGAAGGTGGGAGAGAGCGCTGTACATTCACTCCCCCCACCAACAATCCCTGCCGGTACGAGACCCGAACCCACAACCTTTGGGTTACGAGCCCAACTCTCTAACCATTAGGTCACGACTAATAATACATTATGTTAAGAATATTTTTTGAATATGTAAGATTGCATACTTGAATATTTATATATATATTTTTTTTTCTAAACTCAAAAGTCAAGATATAATTATTTTCTCCACAGGTCTTAAGGCATTTTCATTTCCAGGCCACCTCCCATTTTTATTAGGTGGCTCTCTCTTCCATTTTCTTTCATGCATTGCCAGTATATTTGGTGTGACAAGTAAACATGATCACACACCATTGCCAGTCTATAACACCCCTTCGATTTCTAGACATGGCAGGTAACAGATGCATAAAATTATGTAAGCAACTGCCAAGATAGCTGGCTTGTGTTGCTTTGCTTCACCCTGTCTAGAGATACAAGACTTTACTAAGCAATCCCTATTAACAAATGATTGATGCAATTGTATTGTTGATAAATAGAGCCAAGTGTGTACACCAAGAAGAGCAATTAGCACCCTTGTCCACAGTTTAATGGTAAAACAATGTAAATCATCTCAATTTAAATGTTAAATAATGTAAAAAAAAATATTAAAAAAAACTCTCAAATGACATGATGTAACATGAAGTAAACTGCACAAATGTAACATTAAATAATGTAAAATCTCTCAAATGAAATTTAAAATAATGCAAAAACCTCTCAAATTACATGATGTAACATGAATTATACCTGAAAAAATTACGCATTAAATAATACAATCTCTCAAATGAAATTTAAAATAACGAAATTAAATGTAAAAATAACTAACCTCACAAATTAAATGTAAATACATGTAAAATTGCATATAAATTAATGTAATCCTCTCAAATTATATTTAAAACCTCACAAATAAAATGTAAATTCATGTAAAATCTCTCAAATTAAACACGAAAAATATAACCCTCACAAATCACATAAAACAATTCAAAATCTTGCCAATTAAAATGCATTAATCCATAATTTCAAAGAGTTGTGATGGCCAATCTACAAGAAATTAGAATTGTTGGTCAGTCACATAAAATTC